TAGCAATCCGCGCGGCTTTGAGATATAAAGCAAATCAGTTTACGGTTACCAACTCAACAATCATGCAGACTTCGGAGCTTACTCAATGGAGCGATCTTGGCTACAATGATCAAGAAATGATCTGCCGGTTTAAATCTCTTTCAGTGGAGTTTCTTCGTGAAAACATCCGCCCTGGTGATCTCGTATGGGAAACCATTTTGGCATACCAGAACCTCTCGATTGAATTTATCACTGATCACATCGAAGTGCTTCCACACTGCTTTGACAAGTGGGGGCAAAATGGATGAACGATCATATCCTTCGGTCTGTCACACCTTCCTTCCATATAGCTTCATCAATCAACACAGCGATAAACTGTGGATGGGGTCGGAAAAAATTCAGACTGAAGTGAACAACCACAAGCGCATTGAAGTGGAAGCCATTTTCGAGACGGTGATGCCTGAAAAAGCCATAGCAACAAAGATTGCTTCATACTATGTCTGACTGCTTCTGTTCATTGATAACAAGGTAGATACTGTTGTCAAGACTGATGTGACGACGCCTCGCCAAGCGACCGTGTGACGCGAACGCGTCATCAGTGAGGTCGGCGTGACCTTCACTGTGTTGTACCGCAATCATTCAGGTGATTACGGGACGATGATTACGTCACGGTGATTACGCCAAGATTGTGGGTACAAGATGGGCATCGACGTGGCGTTCTCTGATTGGATAAGGTAACTGTGTATCCAGTAGAGAATCCAGCAGGGTGTACCCAGTAAGAGGTATCCAGTAGCAGGCTTAGAGGTAGCACGCGGTTGCGAACTAAGGACCTGAATCGAATCACTTTGCATTTTGCCAACTACTGCTCAAGTGCTCTTCCTTTTGGTTATGAGCCCAAGCCCCGTCTTCCCTGACCAAGACCCCGACTACGCCTTCGCCATGGACGCCGCCCCGACCGCGACCGCCCGCATCAACAAGTTCGACGGAACCAACTTCCACACATGGAAGTTCAAGATGCAGATGGTGCTGGAGGAGCGCGAACTGTGGGAAGTGACGAGTGGGGAAGTGAAGCTCGAGCAGTGCACGACCGCGGCGGACCAAGCGACGTTTCGCAAGAAGTCGCGCAAGGCGCTGGCGATCGTCTGTCTCGCGTTGGAGGACTCGCAGCTGCCGCTGGTGCGGTCGGCGAAGGATGCGCATGATGCATGGTCAAGACTCGAGGGACACTTCGAGAAGAAGAGCCTGGCGAACAAGCTCTTTCTTCGTCGACGGTTCTTCACGACAACGATGGACGAAGGTGATGATGTGCTGGAGCACATTAACAAGCTCAAGACGCTGGCGGAACAGCTCGACGCGGTCGGCGCTCCGGTCAGCGAGGACGACTTGGTGATCACGCTTCTTGCCAGTCTGAGCGAGTCGTACCAGTTCCTCATCACGGCGTTGGAATCGCGTTCCGACACGCTGACGTGGGAGCTCGTGACGTCTCGGCTCCTGCACGAGGACATGAAGCGCAAGGAACAAGGTGGTGGTGCTGACGGAACCGCGCACGCTCAAGGTCAAGCGTTCATGACAAGCGACAACGGGAAGCGCAAGGGACGGCAGGCGCAAGCGCAGAGGACGAGCGCCTGTCACTACTGCGGCGAGCACGGACATTGGATCGCCAAGTGTCCGGTGCGGATCCGCGAGAACGGGGAGCGGCAGAGGCCGCAACGAGCGAACGTCGCGCAGGTCGAAGATGACTCTGGCGACTTCCTCTTCTCGGTTGGTGGCGACACGGGTGCCTCCAAGCTGAGCGGCATGTGGCTGGTCGACTCGGGTGCGACGCAGCACATGACGTACTCGAAGGAGTACATGAAGAACTACAAGAAGATCTCTCCGGTGGACGTGCATCTGGCGGACGACGGCGTGGTTCAGGCGGTGGGGAGCGGCGACATCGTGATGTCGATGCAGACACCGCGCGGCATGAAGAAGGGTGTGCTCACGGGTGTGTGGCACATCCCGAAGCTGTCGCGCAACCTGTTCTCCGTCGGCCGCTTCACCAAGGACGTCGGGCCAGTGACCTTCGAGAGCGACGGGTGCTTCGCGGAAACGAAGGGTCTCAAGTGGAAGCTCGGCGCTCGCGAAGGCAAAGGACTGTTCAAGCTCTGCATGACGCCGAGGACGCCTGCTGACGAGGCCAATGCGGCAAGCTCGAAGAATCGCCAAGGGGACACCACGTCGTACCTCTGGCACCTTCGACTTGGTCACATCGGCCATGGTGGTCTCGACGCCATCGTCAAGAAGGGCTACGGCACTGGCATCCCAATGACGTCGGTGAAGCAGTGGGAGGTGTGCGACGGGTGCGCACTCGGCAAGCAAACGCGAGTAAGCTTCATGAAGTCGTCGCCGAACCGTGCGAAGCAAGTGCTGGAGGTGGTCCACAGCGATGTGTGCGGTCCGATGCAGACGGCGACGTTCGGAGGCAAGCGCTACTTCGTCACGTTCATCGACGACAAGTCGCACTTCTGCGTGGTGTACCTGCTACGGAACAAGTCGGAGGTGGCTGCCAAGTTCGCTGCGTTCGTCGCGTTGGCTGAGACGCAGACCGGCAAGCGAGTGAAGGTGCTTCGGAGCGACAACGGCGGCGAGTACACTTCGGGTGCGATGGCCAAGTTGTGTGCGGATCGCGGCATCGAGCAGAAGTTCACGCCACCATACACGCCTCAGCTCAACGGAGTGGCCGAGCGAATGAATCGGACGCTGGTGGAGTGTGCGCGCTGCATGCTGGAGCACGCCGGGTTGTCGAAGGAGTACTGGGGAGAAGCGGTGATGACGGCCACGTTCCTCCGCAACCGGTGTCCGACGCGCGCCATCAGTCACGACAAGTCGCCGCACCACGTTTGGACCGGCAAGAAGCCTTTGCTGGCCAACCTCAAGGTGTTCGGGTGCCACGCGTACGTGCACGTGCCGAAGGAGAAGCGGTCGAAGTTCGACGCTCGGTCGGTGCGCTGTCGTTTCCTCGGGTACTCGGAGCACGAGAAGGCGTATCGGTTCGAGGAGATCGAGAGCGGTCGCGTGTTGGTGAGCCGCGACGCGCAGTTCATGGAGGATGTCTTCGACGGTGGGAGACGCGACTACGCTTCGAAGGAGGTGTTGGTGGGTCTTCCGACAGATGATGATGAAGACACCACGGATGAAGAGACTCAGTCCGGATCAGACGAGAACAGAGAAGAAGCTGCGCGGAATCAAGACTTTGAACCCGGCAGCAAGCGACACCCGCGCACGCAGTCGCTCGAGGAAGCCGTGGAGGTTCCGAGTGCCAAGCGGTATGCGGTGCCAAGACGACAGCAACCGCTGGACGAGATGTCTGCCGCAGCACAAGAGAAGGAAGACTTCGAGGCTGCGTACGTCGTGGATTCAGTGGGAGAGATGCCGACAACGTTCAAGTCGGCGATGGAATCCAGCGACGCAGACAAGTGGAAAGAGGCGTGCGACTCGGAGGTGGAGTCGCTCCGCAAGAACGAGACGTGGACCCTGGTGCCACTGCCGAAGGGACGCAAGGCGATCGGCTGCAGATGGGTGTTCCGCGTGAAGGAGAACCAGTCTGGAGAGATCGAGCGGTTCAAGGCGCGACTGGTGGCGAAGGGGTTCTCGCAGAAGTACGGCATCGACTACGACGAGACGTTCGCGCCGGT